TGGCATCAGACTCTCCACATATTTCTTTCCTATTTGGTCCTTCATTTTTAACCAGACCATATGATTCACTAACACCTAAATATGGTACGATCTTTATAAAAACACGTTAATAAATATTTTGATTACCTTGACTTAAAAGGAAATCTTACTATTTTCCACAGACTATAGAAAATCTTCATATTTGGAATGCACTGTGTTGAGTAAAGACACAAGATAATGCCCTGTACTCATTAGCAGAAGCTTTCCTTTGTTTTATTTACTGTTGTTAAACTCTGCTTGATTAAGCAAGGGAAAGAAATCTAATTAATAAGCAACCCTCCACTTCTAAAGAGTGAATAATCCAATCAAGATTGAACCGCATCCTCCCTAGTTGATATAACACCTTTTGAAGCACAGACCACTGATGATCAAATAGCTCCTTCCGTTGACAGATAACATTTTAGGGAGGAGATGAGAGGGGGTTAACAGTGTTCACAGCTGGAGCTTTAGCAATTAGCATATTAAATCCCACTTTATTTGGGTGACATCCAGCGACCTGATTTTGCTCAGGATAGTACATTAATTGTTCCATTTCAAACCTAAACATAAACATGTCTGTTCATTCAACACGTTCTTACTAAACATCCATGTGTCAGGCACCAGTGCAACTAAGTGCTAAGGTTACAGCAGCATATAAATCAAATATCTTTTATCCCTTTGTCCCCACCTGATGGGGCCCATGACTAGTGGGGCAGACACTGAATACTGTATAGGAAATGACTGCTGCAAAATGGTAAAGCCATTGGGGTTACTAGAACATACAGTTTTACAGACTGGGGTCCACTGGAGATGCTCTGAGAAAGCGCACACATGCTGTTGCTCTTCCTTGGCTCACCCTTGCCCTTGGCCTTTTGGCCTCACTTCTACTCATCCCTCAAAATTCAGCCTGGATTTCAGGGTCCTTCTAGAAGTCAAGTCTGGATGGTCCTCACAAGGTCTGGATTGGTCTTCCACACCTGCAGGTATTCCCAAAACTTTGTGTGTTGCCTCTATGCTGGCATTAACCAAATGTATGGGAATTGTACTCATCTGTCCCAACTAGATGATGAACGCTTAGGGAGTATCTCTATATTTTCAATGCCTAGTAAGTGCTTAATCAATTTTGCTAAATTAATGAACAAATAAAGGTTTAGGGAGGAAAAATACTGGGCATTTAGTTTCTGCTGAGGCTGTAAAAGGCAAAGCAAAAGATAAAACAACCAATGGTTTTTTGCTTTTTTTTTTTTTTAAAGATTTTTTATTTATTCATTTGTCAGAGAGAGAGAGAGCGCACAAGCAGAGGGAGAAGCAGGCTCCCTGCTGAGCAAGGAGCCAGATGCAGGACTCGATCCCAGGACCCCGGGATCATGACCTGAGCCGAAGGCAGATGCTTAACCGACTGAGCCACCCAGGCGTCCCAAAACGACCAATGGTTTTAACCAAAGTATTTTTGGCAGAGGTTTGGAGCACAGCATAAGGGCTGGATTACAGAGCATGTATAATTTCTGTGCTTCTGAAGCCCATAGCAGTTAGAACGCTTGAGGTCATCTTTTGCCAGAATATATACTGGGACATTTTAGCTCCAAGGTCTGAAGATACTCTACCAGGATCTTCTAATTCTGAAATAAAAGATGATCTATGTTTGCAACTACATTTGTATCTGTGGGTATAATCTAAATCTGTACTTATAATCTATACAATCTATATGTTCCATGGTTGGCTAAAATTAATATAGATGTTTTAATACAGAGTTTATTTTTAATTTTTATTTTTTTTAAAGATTTTATTTATTTGTCAGAGAGAGAGCGAGTGAGTGAGCACAAGGAGGGGGAGGGGCAGGCTGAGGGAGAAGCAGGCTCCCCGCTGAGCAAAGAGCCTGACACGGGACTTAACCCAGGACCCTGGGATCATGACCTGAGCCAAAGGCAGATACTTAACTAACTGAGCCACCAAGGCATCCCTAATACAGAGTATATTAAACAAAATAAAAAGTGGTCATAATTCCAGAAGATGACATATTCTTGGAAAAGAGTGCTACCTAGTGGTTAAATCTGGGAACAAGAGATAAGATACACCACAGGCTAGAAAACCTCTGAAAGGGTGTATCTCAGTAGGTCACCCTTATGTCAAGAAGAGAAAAAAAAAAAAAAAAGGTACATAGATTGCTTATAGCACAAGGATGTTGAAAGGAACAGATGCTGATTCAAGCTGTGTATTCAGAGTACAACATGGCGGAGAGATTAAGAACTTGGAATCAGAAGTCAGCTCAAGTTCAAAACTTGGCACAGGACCATAAGCAAACTACCAGACCTGTTTAATCTTTAGTTATTTTCAACAATGAAATGGAGATAAAAATACTATCTGACAGGATTATTGTGAAGATGAAATAGGATGATATGTATAAAAATTCTGCATGGTGCTTGGTATTTAGTAAGCCAAATAACTCAGTAGATATTAGATTATTATTAATACTTAAAATTATTTTACTTAGTTTAAAATAATTGTAGAAAATCTTGTAAGTCTTCAAAAAAAAAAGGTTACGAGATAATATGAACCACTATAAGCATATAGAAAATGTCAGACATTAGTTTAAGTACATCAAAGCCAGATTAAAAAGTAAAATAGGTTCAAGTTACATTTTTTTTTTAAAGATTTTATTTATTTATTTAACTGACAGAGAGAGAGAGAGAGAGAGAGAGAGAGAGAGAGAGAGAGAGACAGCGAGAGAGGGAACACAAGCAGGGGGAGTGGGAGAGGGAGAAGCAGGCTTCCTGCGGAGCAGAGAGCTCAATGCGGGGCTCGATCCCAGGACCCTGGGACCATGACCTGACCCGAAGGCAGACGCTTAACCAACTGAGCCACCCAGGCGCCCCTCAAGTTACAGTTCATTCACATAGTTCACTTGAGTTGGAGGGTTAGCATTTTCAAAAAAAAAGCAATTTTTAGAAATAGCAAGATTACAAAATACTCTGAAATATCATCTTTTCCTAATAATAATCATGATCCTTGTTTCAATGACAATATTTTCCTTAAACAAATTCTGTACTTTTCAACATCTAATCTAATAAATCTATCTTTATATACAGAGTTCTTAAAGATTAACCGGTCATTTGAATTTTTCCCCACTTGGTTAGAAATATAAAAGGAAAACACAACAGATATATTGATAGAAAATAAGTGTCAAAAACACTGTAATCCACTACATTTATATTAGAAAAGAATTTGACCTTGATATCTCTTTTGGCTTGCTGTACAACCTATTAGTTTAATTATCACAATAGCCTTACAACTTCAGATAGTATCTATCAACCTGAGTCAAGACAGAAATGCAAGGTTCATCTGCAGTGGACCAAAATAACCACAATTTATAAGTAATCATACATGAGCTTTTGTAGACTGGACACTTTACTGACATTACAGGCAGAACAGGACTGGGTTCCCTCATGCCAGTACAGAAAATTATCTTAAATAATCTTCCTCTACATAATACCTAAATTAAGCATAGCATGGACATATGTATGCCACTATAATCGTTTCATGATCACTGTGTTGGCTGTGGGTCTTAAATGACACACAATGGGGGCTGCATTATTTTATATACTTTGTTACTAATAAAAAATAATTCAAAGTACCCATGTGTAATCAAAAAAAGAAATGTGATGGGAATCAGAACTGCATTATGGTTATATTTGTGTCACTAACTAGCTCTGTACTCTTGGGAGGGTTTGCAGCTTCTCTGAATTTCCATTTATTCATCTACAAAACAAAATAATCTCTAGGTCCAGGATAGCTCTATTCTCTAACCTTTTGCCATTATTTACTATGTCACAGGATCTCCAAATCATAAACCCAAAGTTAGGAAGTACTTAATTATCCACAATGAGTATCTGTGACATACTACCGTTCCTCTTTTCTGCTGTAAAAGTAGGGAAAGGCCAAACAATAACAAAAATATACTGTTGAAAAGACTACAAAGATCTATTTAAACATTTTTACCTTGAGCAATAAACATCTACCCATCTATTAAGACTAAGTACCCACATTCACTTCTTTTTCTTATTCACCTCATAGTTTTTTTTTGTTTGTTTGTTTTGTTTTTGGCTACCCTAGAAATTTGACACAAATGTCTGTACTTAGCCACACATTAACACTTCCAGAACTTAACTCCTCCATATCCAAAACAACCCTTGAATGAAAATCTGTCAAGTATTTTTCCATTTATAAATCTGGCAAACTTTGATGACACTCTCACTCTGAATAAATGACAATGGCAATTGATAAATTTGCTTATGACTATGGAAGGTAAGCAGAACCCCATAATTCGTAACAGTGAGAGAAAGGGAACCAACGTAAATAAAACTCAGTCAGCATGAATTGGCACCTTGAAGAGAGGAGGGTGCCATGCAGGTGGCTGTGCAGGCGCTGGTTAGGGATTTTTGAAAGCAGTCAATCTCAGATAAATATCAGAAACTCAGTTAACTCACCTTTTTAGTGATCCTACTACATCCTTCCACGATAAGAGCACATGAAACTCATCTGTATTAATGATTTTGCCAAAATGCTGGTCACAGTATTTCAAACTGTACTGGCAAATATGGTAAACTAGTTTAACAGCTTCACTACTTCAAGTCGTATCTTGATGTAAAGCAAGTCCACTATGTAAAATACTACTTTGAGAGCAAACTGTTTTTGAAAGGATACACTGGGCAACACTGATCAAAAATGTCTGAGATAATTTCGAATAATAATTTTAAAAATTCATCTGAGACCTGAAAGAAGAACCTTAGATACTACCTCAAGGCAATAATATAAGCATGGGATATTATGAATATACAATCTCAGGGCAATAGGTACATCCACACAATTTTACTCCTATAGTTATAACTAAACTTGAGAACCTTCACAGCAGCCTATTAAAATAATAGATCAATAGGATAAAAGTAGATAAGAAGAATGTGCAATTTATGAATATGGTTTATTACCATGGTTACAAACTTTCAGAACAGGCCTCTGAGCCATGGGACTGAGACTCTGCCGAATATCTGTTAAAAAAAAGAGAGAGAGAAAATTAATACAGAGGTCTGTTCACCTCAAGAAGTGTTAACAGTATTAGACTGTTTTCAAAGGTTAAATATGTCTGGACCCAAGCAATGCTTCAATACCCTGAAATACTTGAAGCAATGATGTTATGACTTTTACTTCCCATTTAGTTATGCTATTGTAAACTCCACTGGGATAAGGTGCGTATGGTTCTTTAGATGAGACTTGTCACACTAATCAGGATTTTCTAGGTTCAGTGCTTTGGTCTGTTAATGTGCTACTGACATCGGCCAACTGGAATGCTTCTCTCTCTGACATCTGTCACGGCAAGGGAAGGATTAAGCAAACTCAGGAAACTTCTGAAGAGTTGTTGCCCAGAGCACTACATTCTTGACACATGACTTGAAAAGAATTAAAAGGAAAAAAGAAAAACGGTTGTTCTTTGTGATAGTTCCCTAGAAAGTAACATGAAACAACTATAATGTTCACCTTTTGGTTTTGGTGTCCTTTTTCTGCGGTCGCGGAAGGCAGCCCCCGACTGCAAAGCCTCCAGCAGACTATCCATCACTCCTGTCTCATCACCCTCTGTGAAAAGAGATGCAGGGAATTCCATCAGCCCTCAGGGTTACCATAGCAATGTCAAAGCATACACAGAAACTGGCGATGGTGATGGTGATGGTAGGGGAAGAAAGATCAGACACCAGGACTAAACCAGCAATTTCAAAATAAGATAGGACTTTAACTCTCTCATAAATCAAATATCTTTTAATGAAATCGGGCTCATTAGTGTCTGTGCTACTGTCCACTAAAGAGGACCAGGTTCCAGTGATTCACTTCACAGAACTGCTTTTTATAGTATGGCGGCACAATAACTTTAAATAGAATGTGGTTCTAGTCATATCTGTGTCTCAGGTTATCATAAATCACATTTCCCTTGTAGAAATGGGTTATTTTCAAAGCATCAGCTTCTATTCTAAAATCGACCAGGTGTGGGAGAATGTTTTTGTTGCTGTTACCGAGACTCTGCTGCCTAAACTTTTTGCACAAAATTGTATTTCCAGGTTAACTATTGTGAACATGCTCCCAACAACTGATTTTTCATATCAGAAGATAATCGTCCCGACTTTAAGTGACACAGAACAATCACTACAAACTTTCATAGAATGTTCGAAAAGTTTGTCTTCTGTAATGAAAAAATAAACCAAAAGACGCTCTCAAGTACCTAAAGTATTTTTCATCCCATTATGATTAGTTTAAATTGATATTCTGTGTATATATATATTTAATGGAGGATGTGGTTATAGAACCAATCCTTTCTCCAAAGAACAGATTATCTTGTAATATTCATAGTTATTTATAGTTGTCAATGTTAAATATTATTCAAAGGAAGGGGGAAGCTTCAAACTACTGGCCCAAGCCCAAATTCAAGGAAATACACTTTTTGTCCCTCAGAAAGAGGTTATTTGTAGGATTCTCTATGAAATTGTATGGCTGTCATAATTACATCTAAAGTGATAGAAAACTACTTCCTCTGGATTTTTTATTTCTTTTTATTGAGATGCAATCCCTTGATTGGGAACAGATGACAAATGAATGCAGTAGAGTACAGACGGCAAACTCATTTACAGTTTATAAACAGATATATAAATATAAATATGTATCGGCCTCTTTCCATCTGGTTCTATCTCATATTTGTAGAAAAGTACTAAACTTTGTAGGTGTAATTTAAAAAAAAGGTGGATGACAGGTAGAGTATCTGAAGGTTAATTTACAGATAAATTTAATTCTAAAGTGGCTGGATGGCTATCTTAATTAAAATACATTAAAAATTTCAGACACCTTAATGAGTAACTAAGTATCTTTGAAAATTTACACTCAAGCTTAACTTAAAAAAAAAAAAAAAAAGGACTGTGAGTAATGCCAGATATTCAAGGTTGAGGATATATTTCATTAGTAAAAGGCAACATTTAAAAAATCTACAACTTTAAGAAAGCAAGCACGAGATTAATGGCATACACTTCAAGGGAATAAAAACAAAAACAAAACCGAAGAACTACAAAGAAAATTTGGACTTTCATTATTAAGTTTACTGCTGATAGTGGTATTGACATAGTGAATCTGAAACCATTATGTGTGTATTATAAGGTTGAGCAGACGGGTAAACTTGCTACTGGAAAGGAAATACAAATATGGAATAGGCGGAGAGAAAGAACCATAAAGTGTTAGATTTCATTTACAAGGGTTAAAAAAAAAACAAAACAAAACCCAAAACACTTTTCCTAGCTTTCCAAAATAACCCAGAAGTAATAACTGTGGCAGCAATGGGCACGCCGGTCTCCAGATCTTGGTTTCTAAATACCATTACTAATGTGAACCAGAATACTTAGAGAAATATCTGATTATGGGGCTGAGACCAAGACGTGTGAGAAAAGCCAGGAATGTACTGATGTACCAGAAGATCAGAAAGTACTCGATGGATTATTACACATTGGGGGTAAAAAACACTTATGCATCCATACTGATACTAAAAAATTAAAAATATAAATATGGGGTAAGGGAAAGCTCTTCTTTATAGAAGAATGCCAACCAATAGGTGTCAAAGATATGGGGGAGATATACAATTTACTATATTACAATTCACATAGTAAGAACGGATTGAGGCAGGAATCATCAATGAGTGCAGAAACTATTGGGTATTAGGCTGTCGGGGAACAGCATTTGGAGAAATCTGGCAGATGTCACCTTACCTAAAGAAGCAAATCTGACATCCTATGTGACAGTAATGGTACACACTGACGAGCGCCTTCTGAAAGGGTGCACTGAGACAGGACCAACCTGTGTAGTACTTTGCACCAAAATATTTATCCTGAATCTAAATGTGAGGAAACTATAATAGAAATCCAAAGTGAGGAACATTCTGTAAAGTGACTGGCTTGGGTTCTTAAAGACCATCAATTATGAAAAACAAGAGAGAGAGGGAGGAATGAAGGGAAAGAAAGAAAAGATTAGGGAGATTCAAGAGACAGGACAACTAACTGTAATACGCAAGCTTTGATTAGCTCTTGGACTATATCATATAAATGCTATTGTTGGGATAATTGGGGAAATTTTAAAATGGACTAGATATTACATAATTATATTATGCCACTGTTAAGTTATCTGAATATGATAATTAGGGTATCATTTGGTAGGTTCATTCCATTGTTCTCAGGAGATAGATGCTGACACACTTAGGCTCACTAAACAACTTATGCCCCTATCTCATGTTCTCCGTTTCATGCCCTTGAACATGCTGCTTTCTTTACACAGAACATCCTTCCCTTTTCTTCGCCAAGCTAACTCCTTCTCCAAGACAGAAAGGAGAATCCTTCCCTGAACTATGTGAGCTGAACCGGGTACCCCTCTGTGTCCTAATGGCTTGGGGTAGCCACAGCAATAAATCCTTTACAATATAATTTACTTGACAGTTTCTGCCACTAGACTGAGTTCACTGAGGACAGAGATCATGGCTTTCGTTTATCCTTAATACCCAGCAAAATGCCAGTATCACACAGAAAGTGTTCATTAATAACTGTTGACTAACTAACCAGTGAGGCACTCACATGGCCAATAGGAAGGAGTAATCAATCCTGCAGGAGAATGAAGGCCACAGGCGGGATGGGGGCCAGGGAAGCGGTGGGAGCGCTTTCCTACCGCCGTAAACAGTGCAGCACTGTTTTCTCTCTCTTCCCTTGTCTCACACAACCATTTGGTTGCCAAACCCTGTTCATGCACACTCCCCAGTATCTCAAGAATGGATCGATTGTTTCCCTTTCTGATTGAACCTGAAGTTCACGGTCGAGAATTGAATTACTTTTCACCTGAAATATCGCATTAGTTGCCAGGAGTCACACTGCGTCGAGTTAATCCCAAGTTCGAATTCATCCCATACAGCACTGGTCCGCTCAAAAGCAGAGCCATGATCTTCAGTCTCCCAGTCACAAATTTCCATTATCTCTCACTTCCCATAATATAAAGTCCCAACTCTCACTTGCCCCGACACTTGATTCCAATTGTGTTTCCAATCTTATCTTTTTCAATTTCAAAACCTGTTCTTCAGCTAAAGGCAACTTTCTTCACACGTCTTTTCTCTTCCATCCTTCCCTCTCCAGCTGGAACCTCTGTGCTCTTGTCCCCCAGAGCTGATGGCTTTTCTTGGCCTTCATTCCCACGTGCATAATGGGAAGAACACATTATGGAAGTAAGAAGACCCGCGTTCTAGTCTGAGCTCTCAACTAACAACCTATGTGACACCGGACTCGTTACAAAATCGCTCCTGACAAGTGTAATAGAAAAAAATACCTGTTTAGGGTTAATGAGAGGATCAAATGAGAAAATACAAGTGAGCGCACTTGGTAAATTGCTAAGTGATATCAAAATGTAGGGAGATAAATTCATAAATGAACTCCATAGCACACCACAGGCAGTTTATGAAATATTTGATTATTATGTTTCAAGTATTGTTTCAGATACAGTATAAATTAAATGACTTTTATAGTGTATTTTATTATGTCTTTGATTATCATCATTTCTAAGGGAAACTGATGAAGTACCTATCAGAAGCAGACCCTCTAAATAGTCTCTAAATAATCCAGTGTGTAAGGTAAGACATATAATGGAGATGTTATTCCAAATGTTAAAAGTGCGCTTAGAATATATTCATTCACCATATGTTTACTGAGGGCCTACTATGTGCCAGGACACTATTAGACACTAAAAATACCCAGGGCCCAAGAATTAATAAGACATGTTTTCTGATCTTAAGAAGCAGAACAGTGTGACAGGTATGGGAGGGATCCGTATGAAGTACTGGAGATGAAAGGTTTCCTGGTGAATTACGACCTGACAAATAAGCAGGATTTAGCCATGGCAAAGACTAAAGAGAGAACAGCATCCCTGGCAGAAGGAATAGCAGGTACAAAAGCAAAAGATATGAATAAAAACAAAAGTGAGCTAGAGTCGAGTATTGAAATGATTTATATTTACATGATTCTAGTACAAACTTAATAATTCATATTTACATTACTTTAACACATTATTCCTCTACAAAGAGAAATAAAAATTAGCTATTTTTAAATTGTAGACTAGAATTCAATATCTCTAACTACAAGTCAGTTCATATTTAAAATATTTATAGTCTCTCTCCTGCTATGAACTCTTTTAAATCAATAGACTAACTGTAATATTCAAAGCTTTGCTATATCTGAATAAGACATCACCTTGTTTAATTAGTAAATGGTATTTACAAAAATCATACAGTGTCAAGGGAAATGGAGGAGAGCACGCTAAGGAAGAGATACCCTTAAAGCAGAATCGATAGGACATGCAGACAAGCAGAGGATGGCCTACTGAGGAGTTAGACAAGCCTGAGGTCTCAGGGGCCTATGACTAAAAGAGTAGAAAATATGAAAATGTTTTAAAATAATATTCAATTTGTTGGGGAACAAATGTTGAAGATAATGAGCTTTCTTTTGGACATATGAGTACAAGGTGCTAGCAGGGACCTCCTGATAACTTCTGAAAGTAAGCTGGAAATTCTGGCCTCA